GAGGCCAGCCTGGGCTACAGAGTGAGATCCAGGATAGGCACCAAAACTACACAGAGAAACCCTGTCTCGAAAAACCAAAAAAAAAAAAAAAAGAAGTTAAATGGAGTTGCTCATATGGCTATGACCCAGAAAATCCACCCCTAAATATGTACACAAAAGAAATAAAAGTACATGCCTGAACAGTAACTTACACATAAAGTATAGCAGCCATATTTAGACGTAACAAAAGGTAATAATAACCCAAGTGGCCATAAACTGATGAATGGATAAACAAAATATGTAACTATCATAAAACAGAATATATTCAGTCATAAAAATAAATGGAGTGATGATATAGTTGTATAAATTTTAAAATGATTATATTAAGTGAAAAAAGCAAGCCATAAAAGGCCACATATTTTTATTATCTTATTTGTAGTTAATACTCATAAAATGAAACCCTATAGACTAATGTTTGTATAAGGACAGCGAAAGGAAGAGTGACAGGAGACATAAAGCTTCCTTCTTAGTTAAAGTAGATGATTTCAAACAAGCTTTTGGTAGTGGTAACACAACCCTATAAATGCTTATAATCAATAAATGTACTTAAAGAATTACAAGGTCAGAAATCAGCTTAGTAGTTGTCAAGAACAGTGAGTGGGGGAAAAGAGTGGCCATAAAGGAGCATGTGACAATTTAGGGCAAGTAGGGAAATGTTTTATATCTCGACTTTGGTGTTGGTTACACAACAGTATAGATTTATAACCAAGTACACTGAACTTTTAATATCTAGACACAATGAGATTTATTGCATACAATTTATACCACAATACAGCTGCCTTGTAGCAAAAGTTAAAACAGGAACAGTATCCCCAGTCACACACAAATTTAGAACACATTGTTTTTGAGTTCACACTGCAGTTCTAGCAGCAGTCTTTAGACCTTAAGGCAAGTGGAAAGGTTATTTCTGTAGCCCAAGAGCCACTTCCCTGTGCAGTTGAGGATCTTTCACCTAACCTTCAGTTGGAAGTGATTAATCTGCAACGTAATGACATCCCCCAAAGCAAATGTGACAATAGACTTATTTCTCAAGCAGCAAATATGGTCAGTTAAAATCCTATGCTCCTGTACCCCAGTCCAATCATAAGAAAAATAGGCCTAAAAAATATCTAACAAGTACACTTCAAAACTACCAAGGTCATCAAAGCAAGCAAAATATGAGAAACTGCCACAAGCGAAAAGCTTCTAAAGATACAGAAATGCTGTGTGATCATACTATCATGGAGAAGACACTGCCCAAAGATAACTAATTAAACTGGAACAAAGTGTGGAGAAGAGTTGATTAAAATATACAATGTATGTTTGTCAGTACACTGATAGAAGAGAGAATTAAAATTTTAATAATAAAAGAGTCAGCAAATGCTGCTAGAACAATCTGGATAACAACCTTAGCTAACCTGACGTTACACCACAGAGAAAAGTGAACACAAAATGAGTCATAGACTTAAATGAAAAAGAGAAGAAAATATGAGGAAATAACTCAGCAGAATCTTAGATTCTGCAGTCTAACTAGGTACAACACTAAAAAGAAAAAAAGAATAAATTCAGACTTACCAAACATCAAAATATAAGTGAGGCCTGGTGTTGATTCCAGTAACAGCAGCACTTGGGAGCTTGAAGCAGGAGGATCACTATGAGTCCTGGGCAAGCCTGGGTCACACAGTAAGTTGCAGGCCATCCTGGACTACAGAGTGAGCCCTTGCCTCAAAAAAAAAAAAATTGACAAGCGGTGATGGTGCACCCCTTTAATCCCAACACTTGGGAGGCAGAGGCAGGCGGATCTCTGTGAGTTTTGAAGCCAGCCTAGTCTACAAATCAAGTTCCAGGATAGCCAGTACTGTTACACAGAGAAACCCTGTCTCGAAAAACAAAAACAAAACAAAACAAAAAAAATCAAAACCTTTCCCTCCAAAACACATACCATTGTGATACAGAAAAAGCTGAATACAGAGGCACACACCAGTAATAGTGACTCGGGAGTCAAAGGCAGAAGGATTGCAAGTGTGACACTAGCTTGGGATGCACAGTGAGACCATGTCTCAAAAAACAAAACAGCACAAACAAAAACAAAATAAAAGCAAAAGGGGAAAAGACAGACTATGAATTGGGGATAAGTATTTACATATCATATACAGGGACTTGGATTTAGACGATGGAAATAATTGTTACAACTCAACTGTTAAATGACAATCCGATTTTCAATAAGTACAGAAGCAGCTCCTTATGTATAGAAGATCCAGCAATGGCTTATAAACACTTAAAAAGATGTTTTCTCCCACTAGCCACTCCATACGGAAATAAACATTAAAACTATAATATATCATGTCATACCAACTTCAACAGCTATAATCTTTTTAAAGAGCAAGGCACACACCTGAAATCCAAGTATTTCGGAGGCTGAAGCAGGAGGATAGTGAGTTTGAAGTCATCCTGGGCCTCATAATAAGACTCTCAAACAAAACAGCAAGAAGAGCCCAGTTGATAACACATGTGCGTGAGGATGTGGCGCAACAAGAAGCCTCATGCACAGAATGTGACTGCTGCCTTGGAAAACAGTTTTGTAATTACTTTAAAAGTTAAACATCAATTGTCCCATTACCCAGGAATTCCACCTTCAGGTATCTAGAAACAAGAGATGAAAACAAATGTCCACACAAAGATGTGTACATTGTGTCCTAAGCAGCATCAGTCATAGTAGCCAACAACTAGGGGGGTTGGGAAACAACTAAATTTCCAACAATTGTTGAGTAGATACCCCAAAATGTATTACCCACACACTGTAGTTTTTTTTTTTTTTTTTTTTTTTTTGGTTTTTTCGAGACAGGGTTTCTCTACGTAGCTTTGTGCCTTTCCTGGGACTCACTTGCTAGTCCAGGCTGGCCTTGAACTCACAGAGATCCACCTGGCTCTGCCTCCCGAGTGCTGGGATTAAAGGCGTGTGCCACCACCGCCCGGCACACTGTAGTATTATTAGACAACAAAAGTAAGGAAGTACTAACACATGTAACAATATGGTTACGTCTCAAAACTATTATGCTGGGTAAAAGAAGCCAGACTCAAAAGACCACATCTTACATGATTTAACTTATGTGAAACATTAAGAATGGGCAATTTTATAAAGACAAAGAGTACACTGGGAAGGAAGTGGAGATAAAGATGAAGTGAAAATGGGCAAGAAATCTTACTGGAAGGATCAAAATGTTCTACAACTGATTCATTGTGATAGCTGCATAACTCTGAAACTAATAATCAATTAATATTTAAATAGGTGCATTTCATTCGGTTTTTGTTTTTGTAATGCTGAGGATTGAAGCTAGGGCCTTGCACATGTCAGCTAAATGTTCTACTACTGGGTACCCCTAGCCCCAGTTGACTTTTATGCTATGTAAGTTATCATAATCAAATTGTTATATAGGGAGGAAAAGGTAAAACTGGGTAGAGAATATGTAGGAATTCTGTACTATCTTTGCAACATTTGTTCTGAGACAGGGTCTTGCTTTATGTAGTCCCGGATGTCCTGGAACTCACTCTGTAGATCAGACTAGCCTTAAACTCACAGAGATCCGCCTGCCTCTGCTTCTCAAGTGCTGGGATTAAAGGTGTGAGCCATAGCACCTGGCTTTGCAACTTTTCTATAAATCTAAAACTATTCTGGAAAAATGTTTAAATTTATTTAAATCAAAATTAGAACTTATGACCTTCAAGATAGTTCCACAATAAAGCCTGATGACCTGTGCTAAATCCCCAGAACCACATGACAGAAGGAGAGAATCAACTCCCAAAAGTTGTTCTCAGACTTCCACATGCATGCCAAGGCATGTATGTACACACACACACACACACACACACACACACACACACACACACACACGGGAGGGGGAGGGAGGAAGAGGGAGACACACACAATCAATAAAATAGTCTTTAAAATAATGTGTTCGTGGATTATCAATATTTGGTAGTAGCTTTTCAAAGACTTTCCTATAGATTAAAATAGATTAAAAATCTCATTAACTAAAGAACATCTAGAATTGATTTTGATGACAGAAAATATTAATTTTAAACCTCAATTAAGCAAAATAGTACCTCCCTCAAATAATTCTGATCTCAGTATTTCTGTGTTAAAAATATATTCCACTATTATTATATTTAGATTTTCATCAATTAACTTGTCTTCTAGACTTGGTTTTACCATTTGCCCGCCAAAAGCCTAAAATATCTATAACCTGGCATTTTACAAGAAGTTTTCTAAACCCTGTTCTATATCACAACAGGAGAGACATAAACATGATCATTTTTAAAATTATATTTTTAACATAGTTTCTAATACCCTTTCAGATATGCTCTATAAAAGATAAGACTTGCATCTCTTTTGCTACAGCACTATTTGGAATTTCCTTTAAAAAAAACCCACATTGTTAGCTTAACATTCTAGCCAGCCTCGATGTAATTGCCATTACCATGATATTAAAGTGACAACATCATACCCCGGTATCCCTAAGGTGACCACAGTTGAGTAGCGATGTCACCAGGCTACAGACTCACTGAGGTCTCTTAGGTATCAAGTGGCTCCTATGGCATCACACCCTGTCTTTAGCATCACTCTGGCACATCACCTCTGTATGGTGTCATGTGTAACCGCTGCTGTGGCAGAATCCTCCTCGGATGCCACTCTGCCGGGAGGACAGGGTAACTAGCCCGTGCTTCTTTCCACTCCTTGGACAGTGGTAGGGAGGGGGAGGGTAGCTACAGTCCGTGGTTCAAGCTCAAGAGGTAGTACTCAGCTCCAACTACTGTCCCTTCCGCCTGCCACTGCAAGTGAGGGCCCAGAGGAACAAGATCTTTAGGATCAGAACTCTCTTGCCCCGGTACAGTTTCCGTTTCATGTGGCCGATTTACTGGCCCTCCAACGACCACCCACCCTAGCTCTTTCACACAGTGCCTCCAGAAGCCGCTCCCATTACCTGACTCCATTCTCCAGCTGTCATCCTGGGCCAATTCCACCGGCAACTTGACTACGGCTTTCTCAGAGGATTCTGGGACTTGTAGTTCCACATTGCTAGGAGCCGGAACTGAGTAGCCGGCGAAGATGCCTCCAGGCCCGGAAATTCTTTCAAACTGCAACTCCCAGAAGCTCCGGGCTATTGGACGGGCAACACAGAAAACAGAGAGAACAGTGATTGGAGAACCTCTAGCTCTTTGATTGGTTGCCGGAGCAGGAGCCGTGAACGGGCGGGACTTGAGTTTCACGGAGATCCTGGGAAGGCGAAATGGAGGGGTGTGTGTCTAACCTAATGGTCTGCAACCTGGCCTACACCGGGAAGCTGGATGAGTTGAAGGAGCACATTTTGGCCGATATATCTCTAGCTACTAGAACCGATCAGGTAAAGCAGCCCGAAGGCCTGTCGCCTAGCCGCGGGCGTCAGTGAAACCCTGCGTGGCTTCCCGGACTTGACTTGGTCCAAGGCCACTTCTGAGCTCCTCCCGCCCCTTCCTCCCTCTCATAGCTTTGGGTTAGCTCAAGACTTGCTGTCCAACTCTAGCCCCCAACAGACTGTTTTGGGAGGGGGAGAGGGCAGCCGCTTTGCTTGCTGAATTTCTTAACGTTTCTAGAACATCTCCCGCTTTTCTCAGAAATGCCCAGGCTTTGAGAGACTGAGAGTTTTGTGAAGAAAGCTTTTCATGTGGATTTCTTTTTCTTTGGTTGTAATCCTATTTAATGGACCACGTGTAACTGAATGCCTATTTTGTGCCAGGAAGTTTGAGAGGAGCCGGGAATTTTAGTTAAGTAGAAAAAGTAGGCACAAATGAAATATTATGTATTGTAACCTCCCCGCCCCCCCCCCAAAGAACTTTACGTATTCATTTCAGGATGGAAAGGGAAGAATCTATAGAAATATTCGGAAAGGTCTTTGTTTAGAAAGGGAGGTTATTTATACCGTGAAGAAAGAATGGGATTTCCACATCCAGTGGAACTCAGTGAACGGAGGCAAACAAAAGGAAATGGACAGTGGAAAGTGATTCTATTCTGATCAACAAAATCTCATGTTTTCTTCATGATTTTCTAAATCATAGATTGTCTTCTGTTGGACAGACATGGTGTTAAACACTAGTAACACAATGCATAACACTTCAAAAATCTCCATGTTGTGTCTCTTAGAGGACAGCTCAAAATGAAGAGACTGTTGTCTTTGGAATTTTCCTTTATTACTCAACAGGAGAATTCCCCTGTGTCCACCCAGTTTGCTTTTGTTATTGTCTGGTAATACAGCTTAAATTTAATAAAATGGATTATATTAAAACTTAATCCGCCGGGCGGTGGTGGCGCACGCCTTTAATCCCAGCACTCGGGAGGCAGAGCCAGGTGGATCTCTGTGAGTTCGAGGCCAGCCTGGACTACCAA